ATTTACCATTATGTGGTTAGCTATATCGTTGGATTTTTCACTATCGGAAGAAAAAAATTTCAATAGTTTTATAGAAATGCCCTTATTCTTGTTGAAATAGCGAAGGAGCAGGGGAAATGTTTTAATATTTTTTTTATTTGATGCATCTGTTAAATTAGCATATGGATGTCCTACTTTCAAATCGTTTAGAATTGACCTCTTGGATTCAGGTCCTGACACATTTGTGATAACCTTGCTCATTTTTGTCCTACCTCAAGTAAAGTTAGCACTTATTTTGGAGTCGTTAAATATTAGGGGAAAAGATTCGACCCACATTGTGATGACAGATAGCTCTGTTAATGTTGAACTGCATGATAATTTTTAAATGTCGAGTGGAGAATTGGAGAATTTTATAAAAAATATATTTTAGAGCGGAAAAATAAAATAAAAGAACTAGACATATTTTTCGAATAAATATTTAAAATTTATTTAAATATAAAAATAATCAAATACTGTCTCTCAAAATTATTATTTATATATTAAAACATTAAAATGTTAAAAAAAAAATTGTGGGAGAAATTAAAAAATTGTGGGAGCTTTTTATGGGAGATTTCTAATTGTGGGAGTTTTGTGGGAGTGAGATGCATGTGGGTAAACTAAAAAATTGTGGGAGACTCCCACTGATGGGGGAAGACATGGCAACCCTGATTCTAAAATCTGATATATAAAGATTTATGTATTTTAAATTTTACATTGCTTTATAGTTTACTAAATTTCGTCCACGAATTATTTATACATCCATTTTATTATAAAATACAAATTTTAAATGATTCGTTAAATTTTCGTAACTTTTTTATCGATTCGGAAAATGCGTATAAATAAGAAAAAATATAACTTTTATTTCTTGCTAATACGCCATTTGGCGTAAGTCTATCATCTCCCTCATGATGAAGCTGTTGAAAATATCACTATAATAAATGAATATGGGGATTTACCTATTAATTTTAATCAAATTAGTGATGAAACTTTAAAAGATATTGAATTAAAACAAGTCATAAGTGATATTAAGAACAACAGGCCTATAATGAACAATATTTATAAAAACATTGAATTGGAATTAAGTATAATTATTAAGGATTGTCTTTACAAAAGCAACAGAATCATAATTCCGTTTTCTATGAGAAAAATGTACTACAGTCATTACATGAAGGTCACTTGGGAGCAGGAAAAATCAATTCCTTAGCCAAAGATTACATGTAGTGGTCTGGTATAAATAATGACATAGAAATGGAAGTGAAAAGTTGTGACGATTGTAACATATATCATGATAATCCGAAAAAGATACAAAAACCATGGGTTTCGGCAACTAAACCATTTTAAAGGATACATAAAGATTATGCGGGTCCGTTCTTCACAAGAAATTGGTTGATAATAGTCGATGCCTACAGCAAATTTCCAATTATTATTCCTGTTAAAAATATTACGACTGATGTTACTTTAAAATAAAATTTTAAAACTATTTCGCTATATGTAATACCTGAAACTATAGTTACGGATAACGGCACTAACTTTACAAGTAACGATTTTGAAAAATTTTGCAATAATTATGGAATCAAACATGTGCTCACAAGTGCTTATCACCAGCAATCCAATGGCCAGGTGGAACGCATGGTAAGAACGTTCAAAACACATATGAAAAGGAATATTAAAATTGACTTAGACATCACACTTGACAAATTTTTATTTAATTACAGAAATATGCGTAATGATACTACAGGAGTTATACCAACTCAGAGAATGTTCAATCGAGATATTAGATTTAAATGGGTATTAAAACCGTTGGAGGAGAAGGAGAACAAAATAAACGTTACTTTACCACGAAATAGAAACTTTAACGTAGGAGATTTTGTTTGGTACAAAGTACACGGTGATGACAAATGGTGCAAAGGCATGGTCACACACAAAGAAAGTGACGTGATTTTCCAAATTAAGACAGAGAAAAGTATTTTGTGGAGACATTTAGATAAATTAAGAATTAGAAACTGTTTTAACATACTTATTAATTATGACTCTAAGGATTATTTTAAGGAGGGAAGTGTGGACAAAAATATAAAAATTACTGATAAAAATGATATAACATCGATTTCTAGACCAATGCGAATTAAACAAAAACCTGTTTATTTAAAAGACTACATAACTTAAAATATAAAAATAAAATAAATATTAAAATGCATAAAGTAAATTAAATTCTAAAACGCTTACACTAAAATGCAACAATGAAAACGCTGAAAATATTATATAACAATCTTATTGATTTATCATTCTTCATTTATTCTTATATCCAGTGTTGTTAAAATATTTCAGTAGCGGTAGCTTTAGCTGCTACTTTTTTTAGAAAATTGCGATAGCCGTAGCTCGCTACTAATTTAGAAAGTAGTATCTATTTTACATAATAAATACATCTAAAAAATATTAATTATTCAATCTAAAATTATAATCCTTTTATTTAATTTAATTTTGAAATTTATATTTAAAAATATACATCATAAATGTAGTTAGCATTATAAATATAGTTGGAAAATAAATATAGATTATCCTTTCTTTAATATTAATATATAGTATTAATATAAAATTCAAAATTAATATATTATTAATTACCTTGTGTATAATAATTTTATTTTTAAAATCTTTATTTACCATAATTTAATGCCATTTTAATATTTTTTTATAAATGAATCTAAATCTCATATAAATTTAAATTTTGAAAATTAAAAAGTTATTCTTCTTTTTTTATAAATACAATCGCTTTATATAAATTAGATTTCCAGATCTGTATGATGATGATAATGTAATAGCTGCTATCGTTCATCCTAGTTTCAAGTTAAATTGGCCATACAATAATTTAACTGAATCTAAAGGGCAACTTGATAGGCTGATGGTAACGTTAAAAAATGACAGGCCTAACCACGATACTAATACTATAGCAAGATCGAAACCCCCGCCTTCCATAAATGATTTTTTTGAAATAAATAATAATAATAAAATTATTGAATCTCTAGATGCTTTTTTTAAATCCAAAAATACTCATTTAAATATTTTTATAATTTTTTTCATATAAAAAGTGTGTTTATTAAATTTAATACTGCGTTGCGCTCAAGTGCTAGTGCTGAACGATTATTTAGTATGGCAAAGCTTATACTTTCTGATCATCGCTCTAGATTTGGGGATGACAGTACCGAAATGTTATTATTATTAAAGTGCAATAATAAATAAATTATATATATATATATATATGTAACAAATTATAGTCATGTTTTTATACCAATATTTTATTTGTGGAAATAAAGTTAAGTAAAAAATATTAAAAAAAAAATCAAAATCGCATAAAAAGTAGCTAATAGCGCGCTACTCATTTGAAAACGATAGCGGTAGCGCGCTATTTTTTTTTATAAAATAGCGGTAGCGATAGCGCACTACTTTTAAAAGTAGCGTTTAACAACACTGCTTATATCCAACTTTGAACTATTATTTCTCATTATTTGCAACTTACTGATAATAATAACAATTTTGAAAATTGATAATAATTAAGACTGAGCAGTACAAGCAAGGTATATGACAAATTCACGATTTATAAGGACAACTTACGATAAGGATATCAAGCTTTAAACAAACCAACGATTTAGACAAGTCAACGATTACTATGACTTATGAAACAACTTGATGGTCAAAATGTTAAAACATTTAGACAACAAACTAACTATAACAATACAATTAAACTTATGTGAAGGCTTCTTTATAAGAAGGAGAATGTTGAATAATATAATTTTAGTTTTACAAATTGTAACATTTTTGAATAATATAATTTTAGTTTTACAATTTGTAACCTTTATTTTAATTTTCAAATGGTAACCTTTATTTTAGTCGTAACTTATATTTTAGTTTATTTTAAGATTATATTTTTATTTTAGTCAAATATTATTTGTAAAAATATATATATAGTAAATGGATGAACATTTTTTAATAATAAAAATATATATTTTCGTTTTCTCTTCACTTAACAATTTCGTTTTTATTAGTGATATATTTTTTTTTTTGCATAATGTGAGTAAAAAATAGGTATATTCCTACTTTACTTCTAAAAAGATAGCTATTGAAAATATGATCATATATGAATGATACTTGATTTTGATGATATTTTTCATATTCACATACTACATTCAAAAACTATGCTCTATTATTTTTAACACGGGACAGGCCCATCGTTTTCCGGAGGTCCCGCTAGAAATAGACCCTTAGAATAAGCTTTAAATAAATTTAAATGTTATTATTCAAATAATTCTTATTTAGTAAACTGTTTAACTTTAATTTTAATTATATTATTCAAATAAAGATATTATTTTGATATAAAAATAAAAGTATATTAGAATTAATATACTTGTATAGTTATTTGTTTTCTGAAAATGTGGTGGAAAGCAAAAAAAAATTAAAAAGATAACATATTAATTCAATTATTATTATTATTGGCCTTTTGGGGTTCGGTTCATCCGGTGGTAAATATTATTTTATTTTAATCATACTTATTTACAGATATAACTTACATTAAAATTAAGCTTAAAATCAGCCATCACCCACCTTTAAAGTAATTAAATTATACTGTAGTTCTCGAGTATAGGCTTTTTCTTTGTCCCACTCCTAAATTAAAGCCTATAGAGGTTTAAGCAACATTTTTCGAAATGTTGTGCCTACAAGTACGTGCGGCTTGCCCACAAACGTGTGGAGGGCTCCTCATATTTTTATTTTTATACCCAAATTAAATTGTTCCAATTAGATGGAAATGAGGAAAACCTAGCGTAGCTCTGTTGAATCTTCAACGTTAGAGGGCAAAAGCGCTATATATCACGTATCACGTAATTATTAATATCTTATTCGTTGTATTCTGGAGTAAAAAATATATAAAAAGTCATACCAATAATTTGATAAAACATATTAATCCTATAATGGTTTATGATAAAATTTTTCAAGAAAATTTATCAGAAGATGATGCAAATGTTGTCAACTTCATTAAAGATAATTTTATGGTTCAGGTTATAGAATCTTTCATAAATGTAACATCCTTATAGCCATCAGTCTATTTATATAATCTTAATGAACATTTTAAGATTGATTTTTCAATGGGGCAAAGTGAAATTGTTTATCGCTATTATAAAAAGATGGAAGAATTAGGTAATTAACTTAATCTATAGATATATAATGTAATCATTAAATTTTTAATGTAACAACATATAAGCCATCAGTAGGCCCAGCCTGGATTCATGGGGCTCTATTCAAATTTAAAAAAAAATAAATACCTAGGCTAGGCCAAATATTTTAAAACCATCGCTATTATTATTTATATAAATTAAAATAAATAAAATATATTTTAAAAAAATTATGTTAGCTGGGCCTAAAAACTTAAAACATGGGCAGGGCTGAAAAATTATTTTTTATAAAAAATCTGATCTGGGCCAAAATTTTTCATGCAAATAATACCTCTAAAATATAAGTTACCAAAATAATGAAAAATGGATGTATTTTTTTACAGTAAGAGGGTTGCTTGTAGAGGTTCATGCAATTTGAACTTGCCCATAGAAATTTATTATTGGATATTTTGGCCTGACCCATAATCACTATTTTTCAATTTAAAAAAATGTGTCTAAAAGATTTTCAATAGTATTATTATTTATTATAATTAAGTTTTAGAGTGGCAAATATCCTCGAATTTTATTAATAATATTGACATTTAATTTATTAGTTACTTTTTAAACATTTTTACTTCAATTTTTAACATTTATTTCTATTTTTTGACATATATTTAAATATTTATATTGTTTAGTAGATGGCGTTTTTGGTTTGGCTCTAGGATCAGTTTAAAATTATAATAGTAATAGTTAGAATAAAAACTACGAAGGGGACAAGTGGGTGGTCATGTTTGACAACTAACCAGGCAACTACCTTTTAAATATATATCTTTTGAACCAATTTCTCTCAAAGTATGTTAAAATGTGAGGATTAAAATAAGTATTTAACATGTTTTGACAAAATTTAAATATATAAATAGATGAGTAGATAATTTTAAACATGTTTAACATCCAGATAATAATTTTTAAAATATTATCATTAAATAGATGAGCTTAATGGTAAAATGAAATGTTAATATTAATTATTTATTGTAATTTTTAATTTATAATATAATTCTTATATAATATCTTATGCCCAGTTCAATTGAAACATACCATAATTGGACTTGGCCAGAAAATCAACTTTGAAATAAACTTATCTAGCTTAAAAACAATTATAGATACAGCTTTGATTCAAGTTTTTTTAAAGGATTGGGATACACATTGATATTAAATTTATTTGATATATCACTTTTTAATGTTTTCTTGTTGTTGCTACTAGTCTTGTTTGATGGTAAAATCTTCTGGCACAGTTTACAATGAAATTTATACCCTGTGTTAATTTGGATTAATATACTTTGCGAATTCAGGAAAAGGATTTTCCATATTATCATCATTTTTCCAGGAAATTACATTGTGATCTGTACCAAAATTATCTTCTATATTAATCTCTATTATTGACATTTTAAATTATTTTGAATACTAGATTTATGTGGATTTTAAAATATATATTTTAATATTGAATAAATAAAAAGATTATGATTTTACAGTTAAATATAGATATATCTTAACAGTGGCCCCTACAGGAAGGGGTCCGAAGCATCTGCTTCTAAAAATTTGAATAAGAATACTTTTTTTAAAAAATTTTTTTTTTTAAATTTAAATCTTTTATTGTTTTATTATACATATCCATAACCAGGTGATTTTTCTGGTTTATGATGTCGAACTTGACCTCGGGATTCCGTTAATATATATAAAATTAAATTATAAGAGGGGCGGGGGTCATATTACTTTTTAATAATCAAATTCAATTGGCAAAATATTACCTGATTAATTTGAGTAGTATAATTTAAATTATTTTCTTTAATTATTTTTTAATCCTAATAAATAATAACACTGAATTTTTGGATTGTTTTTCAAAGGCACAAGATTTTATGAAGGAGAGAAATCTACCTTTTGATTTTGAGAGTTCTAAACTTCCAACATTACAATCCAAAAATAAGCAGTATATATACTTTCATCAGTTTAATGAAAGATTTAATAATGAATCAATGAATATTTTAAATCAAACCTCATTTTTTACACCAAAGGGGATGGCGGAAAAGTCAATCGTTAAAGATGATATCAAGGATATCTGTGAATTTTACCATTTTCAAGATTTTTGAAGAAGTTTCGAAATATTTATAAGATGGCTAAAATGGTGATGTAATTATTACACTTGACCTAGATTAAAGAATCTAAAGATTTATCAGATTCTGAGAATTGTAAATTCATTCAATTAAAATATTTTTTATATACTAATACATTATTTAGCTTCTTCTTCTGGTGATGATAATTTTGAGACTTATGATTCAGACTGGAAAAACTATTCGTTTATTTTACCTTATCGTCTACTTTTAAATATTTCTACTTTCCCTAATTTAACAATTTTATTATTTATTTACCATTCCTACTACCTCATGCAGTGACCCCTACACTTTTTGAGGGATAGAAGCAGAATACCCCCCTAAAGTACCCCCCCCCCCCATTGTAAATTATTTTTTGACACGTCCAATTTTGGAAATACAATTATCGATGAATTTTCTCCTTCTTACGCTTTAAACCCCAACTCCTTCCATCACAAATTGATCTCCGAAAAATTAGATCTTGGAGATATTAGCGGTGCGGCCCGAATATTGTCTTCCGATGACTCTATTTCACCTATCAACGTTACCATATTTAAACAACTTCTTGAACCACGAGTGTCCCCTTTTAACATCCACCCGCATGCCTCCTCCCCTATTCCCTTTACCTGTGACGAAGTACTTAAGTGCTTAAAGTCCTTTAAAAAAGGGACGACAGGTGGGTTGGATGGCTTCAGACCTGGTTTCTTTGTGGAGTTAATTCAATGCTCTGATAGTGGCTTCATTGACCCTTTGTTGAAAGCATTAACTGAACTGTGCAATAATATCCTCGTACGCGAAGTTCCCCTTTGCATTCGTCCTATTATTTTTGGCGCACGTCTTGTCTCCTTGACCAAACCGGATGGCGGCGTTAGACCCATAGCCATAGGGTCATTCTTTCGTCGTTTAGTCGCCAAGGCTATCGTAAATAGGATTCGGCCTAAGGCTAGTTCCTTCTTATTTCCTTCACAGTTAGGATTTGGAGTGAGAGGTGGGTGTGAAGTGACCTCACATGTTGCGTGCATTTTTATAAATACTGAGGCCGATAAGGTTTTCTGCAAGTTAGACTTCAGAAATGCCTTCAACACCATCCATAGGAGGGCATTCTTACCATCTTTTTTACACCATTTCTTAAAATATGGGAATTTCCTTAATTCCTGTTATGGATTCCCTTCGTTACTCAAATTCGGGGAATTTTCCATATCCTCCGAAGAGGGGATACAGCAAGGTGATCCTCTAGGCCCCCTGCTCTTTACTATAGGGATTTATGATTTGATCAAAATTTTAAAGTCTAATTTCCAATTAGACCTTAATTTATGGTATCTCGACGATGGCTCTTTTGGCGGTTCTTTATCCAATGTTATGTCGGCCATAGAGTACGTTGAAATGGAAGCTTCAAAAATTGATCTTTCCCTAAATAGGAAAAAGTGTGAAATTTCCTCCCTCAACAATAAGGATTTAATTCCTCCCTTAGATTTTACAATTATTCCGCACGAGGAACTCTGTCTTTTAGGTTCCCTATCGGTTTTTCAACCTCCTTTTGTCAAAAAACTTTTGACGATTTGATCCAGTCCCTTTCCAATTCACTCAAGAATCTTCATCATCTCCCAAAGCATCAGTTCTTCTTTCTCACCAAAAAATGTCTTTTTCTTCCGAAATTCTTACATTTATTTAAATCTTCCCCCGTTTTCCAGTACAATACTCTCCTTAAGGTCTTCGAATTAAAATTTAAACATTTTATCGAATCCCTTTTAGGCTTAAATTTTTCCGATTTCAATTGGTCCCTCACCTCTATGCCCGCATACCGGGGTGGACTGGGAATGTCAACCCCCTTCCTTATGGCAATTGCGTGTTTTCTTTCGTCTCGAATATCCTTCGCCGATTCTATTTCCTCGCTTATCGAGTTGGACGATCCCCTTCTATCTTCAGCTAAACAAGAGTGGCTTACTCTAATCACCCAAGGCTCCGAGCAGCCATCCTGTCATCTAAAGAGCTTCCTGGTCCCTATGCTTCAATGCTCGTTTGAAAAACTTTGTATGTATCCTGATCTAACTAACCTTCAACTGCTCAGAAACGCAAAAAAAAACTCTAACGGCCATGAATGGCTAGACGCGATTCCGAGTGGTAAAAAGGAAACGTTACTCACAGACGATGAGTTTCAAACTTCCATTGGCCATAGGCTTGGTTGCCTTATCCCTTCTGTGGACTGTGCTGCCTGTCACAAACAGGTTGATCCTTTATCTAGACATTGTTTCTCGTGCCTCAAAGTCAGTGGCCGTTTCCTGAGGCACGACAACCTTAATAGGTTAATCGGCAAAGCCTTGATTTCGGCCGGTTTCCCCAATAGTTTGGAGCCATTAGGTCTCCTAAATGCTGACCGTAAGCGCCCTGACGGCATGTCTTTAACGTTTTGGCACGGCGGCAAAAGACTTGTCTGGGACGTCTCTTGTGTTACCTCCTTTCCGGCTAACGGAAATACTGACCCCTTGGAACTACAAGAAACCAATAAGTTTAATAAATATAGATTCCTCCCTAACTCTTATATTTATTCCCCTAATTTTTAGCGTCCTTGGAAACCCCGGTCCCCAATCCCTAAATTTCTTAAATCAATTGGGTAGAAGAATTTCGTTAAGGACAGAGGTCAAAAACGAGTCCCTATCTCTTAAACAAAAAGTCCAATTTGAAATCCTAAAGGGGAACTACAAATGTTTCTTCGAAACACTCCCATTTCCCTCCTAGTTTATCAAATATAGTCAGTTGTTTTATATTAAAAACTTTTTTGTTAATTTTATTTATATTTTGATGCAACTATATTTAGATTTTAACCACAAAAAAAAATATTTTTTTTTTTTGTTATAATTAAACATTTATGTTTTAAATATCTTATATATATATATATTTTTTCCGAGTATGTACGGTACGATATCAAGAAAAATTTATATTTAATGTAAATATTTTATTATTATCAACAAATAATCACAAATTATATTCAAATTTTTTTTAGGCCCACCCAATTGTTATAAAATTCTAATTATTTGTAATTTTTTGGAAAAATTATTATTTATTTATTTTTTTTCAAAATTATTAATTACATTCTACAGATTATTTACAATATTAATACAATAATATCATTCTCAATTATAATAAATAATTGAATACCAGAGAAAAACATTCTAATTAAGTAAATTAATATAATACTGTTAGATAAATCAAGATTAATAATAAATTTTTATTATATTTGGTAAAAAAAAAAAATTTAAAATAAAAAATTAAAAAAATTTAAAAAAAAGAAGTACCCCCATAGAAATTTATAGAAGCAGTTGCTTCGGACCCCCCTCCCCGTTGTAGGGGTCACTGACCTCATGTACTGCTGAAAGGGTCTTGAGTAAAATAAATTAATTAAAACAAGATTTCGTCGTAGTACCATGAAAGATCCATTTCTTAATAATTTAACCATTTTATCAATGGAAATTTTTTTTTATTTAAACAATTAAATATTGATGAAATTGTGAATTCTTTCGCTTTCTTTTCCCCTAATTTGTCTAAATTATTCATTTAACAATAAATAATATTTTTCAAGTATATATTTTATTTATATTATATATTAAAGATTGATGCAATAAATATTATTTTTGAAATTTATGGGTGTCAAAAAATAATTAAAGCCGTTTATTTTAGCTCGCTAGCACACCTGGTTCCCGAGATATAGGGGTTCAAAAGTGCAAAAAAGATCTGTAAAATTTCTAAAATGCTTATATCTCAAAAACTATAGGAGTTTGTTTTCGAATTTTTTTTTTGCTTTTTATTTAGATACCTTTTATAAATATATATACGATGTCAAAACCTTGGCGACGCTATTGACTTTTCCGAAATATACATTTTTTACCAAAAATTGAAGAAAAAGTAGATGGCGCTAATGGTTGGAAAAAATTATTCTTAAGGAAAATAAAAATATCGATACGTTTATAAGAAATGTGATAAAATTTTTCAGTTCTGCCCCCCCCCCTTCCCACCATCCTTAAAATGTTTTACATTTTTTAGATCTCTCTACTTTGTTACCATAGCGAATGACATATTAGCTCGATGTATAACAGCTGCAGTAAATATGAATATTTTATTAGGCATATTATCAATTATATTTTACATAATAAACTGTTAAAACGATCTCTCTTTCTGCGTAATATTTTAACTTGTCCATTCAGATTAATTTTAAATAATTCAACCCGTCTGTAGCTTATTATTTTATCGTTTGTCTACCAATAACATTCTGGATTTGGAGAATGCAAAAACATATATTCTAGGTGCAGATCAATTAAATTTTATTCTATATCACAGATGGATGTACCAAATATTAAAATGTTGCAACTCATTTGATCTACAGAGACATGCTTATTATCGCGAGAATCTTAGAAAGATTCTACCCTGGATGACCCAAAAAAAATTACCATTCAATTTAGATAAGTTAATATGCTCTTTATGCCGACAAAAATTAGCAAACATTCCTTATACTTCAAATGACAATGTAGATATTGATATCCTCCCCCTCATCTAATTAATCAAGAGGCTATTGATAACATATTTTTTTTACAAAGCCATTAATTTTAATATGCTTGGTTATTTTCATGATTAAAACAAACTTCTAAAATATCAATCAAATGGGGAATCTCTCATTAAAAGAAAATATGTGGTAAATATCAGTTTTACTCATTTTAACTTTTTTAGATTTTTAATGTTAATTGGAATATGTTAATCTCTTTTCTTACTAGGAACTCCATTAATAAAATTTTTATCATAGGGATTTATACTTATCATTCCTATAAATATCAGATTTACTCATATTTTAATTTTTTTTTAGATTTCTAATGATTAATGGGAATATGTTAATCTCTTTTCCTACTAGGAACTCCATTAATAAAATTTTTATCATAGGGATTTATACTTGTTATTCCTATAAATATGAGATTTATTTTGTTAGAGGTTTCTAGTCACTTATCTTACTAGGAAATCTATTTATCATACGTTCATATAAATATCTGATTACTTAGATATTATTAAAAATATTGTTAAAAGGCTCGATTTGAGTCGAGTTTTTAAAAACGGCTAACTCAAATTTTCGTTAGCAAAATATTGACTAAGCCTCGAGATTTAGCTAATAGATGCCAAACCTTTATGACACCTCGAGCAAGGTCTGCTGGCTTGCCTAATATTTTTTCGGATTATATTGAGTTAGCCGTTTTTTAAAAATCCGCTCAAATCGAGCCAGCATGCATGTTTTAAGAATAATGAAATATAAGCCTAACAATTTTATTATTACTTTTGCAATTATATCAATAGTATATATAAGTATTATTGTGTATATAAAATAATGATTGCAATTTATATATCAATAGTATATAAATATATATTTATTGAGACTATATATTGATGAAGGTATATAAAATAAAAATTGCAATTTCTATATCAATTATAAAATTATATTTATTAAGACTCTATATTGATGGTGGTATATAAAAATTTGTATATATTTCAATTGAATATTAATTGTATATAAAATGATGATTGCAATTTGTATATCAATAAGTGGTATATAAAATAATGATTGCAATTTGTATTTCAATAGTAATATATAAAATTATTGTAATTACTTTTTGCATATCAATATTATATAAAATGGTGTAAATTTGGTATAAAAAGCATTAAAAAATGAAAATTTTGACGGCATGATCATAATATTGATAAAGAGTGATGTGAATTTTTAGGTAAAAACCTAATAATTAATAAATATCTATGTATGCATATAATAGTTTTCTCTATTTTGAGAATATAAATAATTATTAGAAAATAGTAGATTTTTATTAAATTTAGATTTTATAAATTTATATTAGGCATTTTGCTTTAAAAAAATTAATTGATTTATTGAATAATCTTCAATGGCTATAAAAGATAATTTCCAGATAAAACTAGTAGCATATTTTAAATTTACCTTGATTGGTTAAGTTCCTGAATGGATTATAAATGATGCTAAGATTAAAATTTCCAGGTTAACAAGATAGCATAATAATAATATATTCTATAATTTACCTAGGTTGGTTATGGTCTCAAATGATGCTGGAGAAAATATTTTAGATAAACTTTCTAAGCAGGCAAGAGCTATAATATGATTATTATATATAAGATTAACTAAAATATACCAGTGCATTGTTTGGATATATGAAAGATATTGTTTTTAAATATCCCTTTACCCACACATAATGGCTTGGTGCATTTGTAATACATAGTAATATTACAACTATCATATTTTCTAAAATGTTTAGGAATCATAAGGTAATATTTATATATTAAGTATATATTGAGCAAACAGCTTTTTAAATTGAGCATACATATTTTAAGCAAAATTTAGCAAAAAGTCACGCGACAAAACATCAAAACACAAAAAAAAGTATATCATGCGGCACGATACCATTTTTAATGCCTAAAAAAAATAAAAATAATTTTTAAAAAAATATAACCAAAAAAAATGATGTATTTTATTTTTATTATTCATGACATGACATGAAGCCACCCAAGCTCAATTACATTGTTATCAAATCAAATGAGAATATTATATATTAAAAAAGTTAACCAAATGCCAATATTTAAATAATTAATAACATTAAGGAATTTTAGAGCTATAATATAACAAAATTAATTCAACCAATTTTTTCTATAGCAAGGTCAATATCGTAACTTGAACTGCGAACTCATATCATTGAAATTAGAGGGGGGATAGTTAGTTATGAAATAATTATCATTATTTGAATAAAATTGGAACGGGATGAATGGTATTTTCTTTTTTTAATTATTTATATTTGGTAGGAGGTTAAAAGTTTGAGAGGGTTGATATCATTTATAAATATGTATACAAGCCCCTGATTATATTCTCCGCAATCCTTTTCTTAAGTTAAAATAGGAAATGGTATAGCAAGTATTATCTTATATTAATAGATCCCTTTAGGTCATATTTTTTTATATCTAATTTACATATAGAATAAATATCCTTACAAAATAAATTTCATTACAAAAAGTCATTTAAAAAATGATTTTTTTATTTATTGAATATGTGAAGGAAAAAGTAGAGCATTGCCATATCATATCATGTAAACCAATAGTTTGTTTGTTAAATATATAACTGAAGTGTAAAATTTTAAAAGAATCACTAATTTGGACAAAGACTGGTTAAAAATAATCATGGAAAAAAAACATCGGACAAAAACACCCCAATATAAAAAAATTTACATGCTTTAATAAATAAAAGGAAAATGTAATCCTCGTTTTAAACTTTGCCCTTTAGTGTAATACTTGAGTATTATTTTATAATAATATTTTTCTAATAATGTTGCTCATCAAAAATGATCATATTTGTAAGGGAAAACAACTATATGACTCAAGGGCTAGGAATATGAATTTTAAAATAATTTTATAATGCATGACGAAAGATGGTTATTTTTGAAATATTAATCGTGGGATTGATGTGGTAGAGAAAAACTGCGTCACATATAGAAGAATTTGTAAATACTCTCATAAAATCTGTATCTTGATGAATGAATCTGTATGTAGCTAGCTAAATTTTATACCAAAGTAGACCTTTCTATATTTTTGTCACAAAAAATAATGCGAATATAAAAAATTTGAGACTATTATATAAAAACAAACAAAATTTTTATTATTGTAGATAAGAATTAAAAAAAATTAAACATTCAATGTTATATTAATAGCGATTCCTTTAAGATAATCTAATCTTGATCGATTTTCAAAATCAGAAACAATTGTTACTATTCTCGCATGCAGATTTCGATATTTTTTTCTGAGGGTGTTTCACCAGACTTATATTGAGCAATTTTTAACTGTCAACCCTTGTTGTTTTTTTAAGCCTAGAATATAAATTATAAAGTTTATTAGTAAATCTTTATACTTTTTAATCATTTAAAAATCATAGATATATAGATAACTTGATATAAATTTACACATGTTTGGATGGTGACTTGTTAGGAGGGAACTGAAGCATCTATGCCACCCTTCAACTGCGTTGTTGGTTTTTGTTTCCCCGTTCAGAGTTGATTGGTAACAATTCCATATTTCAATATTAAACAAAGCAGGTGGTCTGCCTCTTCCAAACGTTTTACCAATGTAAGCTTTTTCAAAAGTTTCAACTAGCGGCTGAAGTAACAATTGATTATTAGAATAAAATTCGGAGTTTATTAGTAATTCAAATGTTTCAACTACATTTAAGGGTGGCACAAATGACAAGCAAACCATCATTCTAAGTTGTATATTAAATTCCACATCTGTTTTATATTTCTGGATATTTTTGAATGTTTCGCCAAAATGGAAATAGCAACATTTGTGTTGCGAACTGGGAAACACTTCATTGAAAGCTTTTACACTGGCCATATCAAAATCCGTCATAAATTTTTTTGGAGTTGATATTAAGTTGTCACCTATAATAGTAAATATTCTATTATGAGTTTCATAATCCTTTCTATTGGTCAATATATATATGAGAGGTAAAACATTATTATTTCTAATCCCATGAATTGCTTAAATTTGCGTAAATAAAGGTGGCAACGATTTAAATGTACCAAAACCAATGTTCGCATGAAGCTAAGAAGTCCAAATTTTTTCATGTTCCAAATATGATAACACCGTCGGGAACCTGAGACACATGATAAATAAATAAGCAATTATAATAAAGTGCTTCTTATCGGGCAGCTTATCGCAATAAAAATGAAGGATTTAGTTATATTTGTTCAAAAAAATTATAGAAAATCTTACCGGACCATCATCATGAAGTATGAAATCCTCATATTTATCTGTAATTGAATATTCATGCGGAATTACCAGCTCAATAAGGCTGCTAGGATTCGGAAGTGCAAAACTGTTTGAACGCGTTCGGTATTATACGTTTCATAAGTTTTGGTGATGGTAGTGCCATTGATATGGAATCACTTAATTAAGATACGTGTTTCGCCACAATAAAGTTTGGAGTTTCCATAGCATTATTCCAAGCTTCATTCTTAATTGAATTGATTATTTTCTTGGTTTCCATTTCGATTGGATTTTCTGGATGATTGTGTATTTCTTTATTATCTTTTATCTTACCATTTTTTTTTGTAAGTCGTACGGGACATTTAAAAATATCTTGATTAATGCATCTATAATAATTAGTATCTGAGACTACTTTATCCAGGCGGAACATAAAGGTTAAGATTTCCTTATTTTTGCTTGATAGCATATTTTATAAGGCTCCGAAATAGAGAGGAAAGAATGGCGAAAATATTTATAATTTATAACCAAAGGAATGGGACCAGCCAGACGAGAAAATTTTTTTTTTTAAATTTCGGCAATACTTTTTTTTAAAAATAGTTATAATTTATCAAATATGTCATTAATTATTTGTTAATTTTTAGTGTAGCTATTTTTTTATATTTTAAAATTATTTAAGATTCAATAAGAACCCATATCAAAATATTATATTTAAATTAATTGAAATTAATGCCGAGATATTATACTAAAATTTTTATCACGCCCCCCCCCCCTCCAAATAAATAGAAAAGATAAAAAGATATCTATAAAGATCGTAAAATAATTAGATTAATAAATATCATTTAGATGTAATTTATTTTTATAAATTATTTGAACAAATATAACTAAATCTTTCATTTTTATTGCGATAAGCTGTCCGATAAGAAACACTTTATTATAATTGCTTATTTATTTATCATGTGTGCTAGGTTCCTGACCGTGTTATCATATTTGGAACAAGAAAAAATTTGGACTTCTTAGCTTCATGCAACATTGGTTTTCTGATGGTACATTTAAATTGTCGCCACCTTTATTTACGCAAATTTATACAATTCATGGGATTAGAAATAATGTTTTACCTCTCATATATATTGACCAATAGAAAGGATTAACTTATAAAAGAATATTTACTATTATAGGTGACAACTTATCAACTCCAAAAAAAATTATGACGGATTTTGAAATGGCCAGTGTAAAAGCTTTCAATGAAGTGTTTCCCAGTTCGCAACACAAATGTTGCTATTTCCATTTTGGCCAATCCTTTTGGCGAAACATTCAAAAATATAAAACAGATGTGGAATTTAATATACAACTTAGAATGATGGTTTACTTGTCATTTGTGCCACCCTTAAATGTAGTTGAAACATTTGAATTACTAATAAACTCCGAATTCTATTCTAATCAATTGTTACTTCAGCCTCTAATTGAAACTTTAAAAAAGCTTACATTGGTAAAAAGTTTGGAAGAGGCAGACCACCTGCTTTGTTTAATATTGAACTATGGAATTGTTACCAATCAACTCTGAGCGGGGAAACGAAAACCAACAACGCGGTTGAAGGGTGGCATAGATGCTTCATTTCCCTCCTAACAAGTCACCATCCAAACATGTGTAAATTTATATCAAGTTATCTATATATCTATGATTTTTAAATGATTAAAAAGTATAAAGATTTACTAATAAACTTTATAATTTATATTCTAGGCTTAAAAAAACAACAAGGGTTGACAGAGTTAAAAATTGCTCAATATAATTCTGGTGAAACACCCTCAGAAAAAAATATCAAAATCTACATGCGAGAATAGTAACAATTGTTTCTGATTTTGAAAATCGATCAAGATTAGATTATCTTAAAGGAATCGCTATTAATATAACATTGAATGTTTAATTTTTTTAAATTCTTATCTACAATAATAAAAATTTTGTTTGTTTTTATATAATAGTCTCAAATTTTTTATATTCGCATTATTTTTTGTGACAAAAATATAGGAAGGTCTACTTTGGTATAAAATTTAGCTAGCTACATACAGATTCATTCATCAAGATACAGATTTTATGAGAGTATTTACAAATTCTTTTATATGTGACGCAGTCTTTCTCTACCACATCAATCCCACGATTAATATTTCAAAAATAACCATCTTTCGTCATGCATTATAAAATTATTTTAAAATCATATTCCTAGCCTTGAGTCAGTCATATAGTTGTTTTCCCTTACAAATATGATCATTTTTGATGAGCAACATTATTAGAAAAATATTATTATAAAATAAAACTCAAGTATTACACTAAAGGGCAAAGTTTAAAACGAGGATTACATTTTCCTTTTATTTATTAAAGCATGTAAATTTTTTTATATTGGGGTGTTTTTGTCCGATGTTTTTTTTCCATGATTATTTTTAACCAGTCTTTTTCCAAATTAGTGATTCTTTTAAAATTTTACACTTCAGTTATATATTTAACAAACAAACTATTGGTTTACATGATATGATATGACAATGCTCTACTTTTTCCTTCACATATTCAATAAATAAAAAAATCATTTTTTAAA